TTTAGTAAGAAATGAATTTGATATGATGTGAACCGGACCCTCGGTTGTTAAAATTTGAACTTAAGAGTTCTTGAGATTCTTCTTTGATTTGATGTTAAATTCGCAGTTAAAGGTGTTAATTTGGCGATTTGATCGCACGAGTAAGTCCATATGATGTTTTTGAGTTAGTATGCATGTTTGGTTTGGAGCCCCGAGGGCTCGGGTGAGTTTTGAATAGGTTTTGGAAGGTTTTACACTCAGGAAAAGTTGCAGAAATGCTGTTTTTGATGCACAAACATTCTGTGCTTCGCGATCGCGAAAGGGAAATCGGGGCTGGGGTGAACTTGTTCTATGCGAACGCGAAGTAAGGGATGCGAACGCGGAACACTGGGGGGTTTCTCTACGCGAACGCGACCCTTGTCCCGCGAACGCGTAGTGTAAAATGGAGGATGGTCTGGGATGTTATCGTTCTTCTACGCGAACGCGTACACAAGTTTGCGAACGTGAAGGTCAGGGGGACAATCCTTCGCGAACGCGTAGGAGAACTCACGATCACGTAAGTCCACATCTGGCAACTCTTCACGATCGCGACAGTGTTCACGCGATTGCGATGAACACTGTCGCCCAGCTCTTTTAAACAGTAGCAGAAACGGGATTAAGTCATTTTTTCACATCTTCTTCCCCAAAAACAGAACCTAGGCAATTTTTGAAGAGCAAAATCAACACCAAATCATAGGTATGTATTCCTAAACCCATCTCCTTCATTTTCCATCAACACCTATTAGATTTCTAGGCATAAATATTGTTCTTCCATGGTAGAATTTAGGATTTTGGGTACAATTAGGGCTTTTTGAATAATTGGAATTTAGACCTCATTTTGGGGTCAGATTTCGAAACTAATTGCATATTCGGGCTAGAGGGTGAATGGGAGATCAGGTTTTGGTCCGATCCTCGAGTTTTGACCAAATGGACACGGGGTCGATTTTTGACTTTTTGGAAAAAATGATAGAAAACCTATAATTAAGCATTGTGTATGAATTCTTTAGCATTTATTGATGTTGTTAAATTAATTTGGGCTAGATACAATTGAATTGGAGGCGAATTCTAAAGGAAAAGCGGTGTTTGAGGCTTGAGTTGGCCGTGGAAGTTCGAGGTAAGTGTTTGTCCTAACCTTAGCTTGAGGGAATAAGTATTGTGCTTTAATTGCTATATGCTAGTGTAGTGTAAGATATATAGGTGTGGTTACGAGTATCTATACGTCATTGTCAGGCTTGCCCGTGAGTCTTAAATTGTAATCGTTGTGTTCATAGTAAGTACTACAGATGCCTAAGTTGTTGATTCTCCGTGTTGAGCAAGAATTGTGATTATTCTCGTGGTTGTTGTTTATTGTTGAGTATTGGTTCCAGTTGAGGTTTCATCTGTGAAGTTAAATATTGGTACAAGTTTGGTTATAGCTGATTCCCTTGCCAGGACGTATTTAATTCTTACTGTTGGTTCCCTTGCCGGGATATGTTTATTCTCATTGTTGATTCCCTTGTCGGGATATTGTTGTTTCCTTATTGTTCCCTTGTCGGGACTCTTTTGTGATTGGTGTTGAATTGTATATTGGGATCGGGTTGCATGCCACAATAATATTATATGGGATTGAGTTGCATGTCGTAACATGGAGTAATAAGGGAGGACAGGAGGGGTCAGGTTGCATGCCGCAACAATGATATATGATGGGATCGGGTTGCACGCCGCAACAATGATATATGATTGGATTGGGTTGCACGCCGCAACAGTGATATATGATTGGATCGGGTTGCATGCCGCAACAGTGTTATATGATTTGGATCGGGTTGTACGCCACAACAATAAATAATAAAAGTGAATATTAATGTTATTGTTTCCTTATTCTTACTGAAGCGAACTTTAAAATGTTCTTTATGCTTTTCTCCTGAGTTACTGTTACTACTTGATATTCCCCCGCAGCATGTTTCCCCTTCTCATCCTTAACTGCTAGTTTCCGTTATTATTTCTTGACGTATATACTTTAACTGCACAGGTTTATTTGGTAGTCTTGTCCTAGCCTCGTCACTACTTTGCCGAGGTTAGGCTCGACACTTACCAGTACATGGGGTCGGTTGTGCTGATACTATACTCTGCATTGTGTGCAGATCCCGGTACTGGAGCATACGGACCTTAGCTAGGGGTTGCTACCTTCAGTTCATCAGGAGACCCGTGGTAGACTTGCAGGCGCCCGCAGGCCTTGGTGTCCCCTCCTTATCTAATCTCTTTCTTTTCTTTTATATTCCAAAGATAGATATGTACTTTCTTGTTTAGATTTTATTTGTAGTTTTCTTAGATAGTCTGTGAGATTGTGACACCAGTTCTAGGTGGTTTATGTTATAGATTCGTATTGGTATTGGCTTAATTGTTACATTTAGGGGTGGGCATAAAAGCCGAAAAACTGAATTCCGAACCGGACTAAATTATTTTGGTATTTCGGTATCAGTTTATTCGGTATTTTGGTATAGGATTTCCAGTTATTCGGTATTTCTGTACGATCCTTGGTATTGAAATTTTGATATTATCGGTATACCGAAATACCGAATAATTTAAGTACACCTTCCTTCACTGCCCGACCCGTTATCAATTTTCAGCCCAAGTTTCTAACTTGTTATTTCTTACCCTTAGCCAGTAGCCCACTAAGATTAAGCCCAACGCCCCAACCATTAGAAATTATTATAATTAGAAAAGTAAAGGAACTTCTCGTATTTGTTGCTGTTCAACTCATTTATCACTTTATTTGAATTTTTTTAATGATATGATTTCTATTATAAATTATTAGAAGTAAAGAAAGTACTCATATTCTACTGCTATGCTCATATAGTGATTTCTATTAGAAATTATTAGAAGTGAAGGTACTGCCCACATTTTCTTGTTGCTATACTCATTATCACGCAATTAGAAATTTTCTAATAAATTAGAATTCAGTAGTTCAACATTGTTTAGTTCACAAAAATATGGTACGATACCGAACCGTACCGAAATCATACCGAACCAAACAAGAAGATACTGAATCATACCGAACTACTTTGGTACGGTATTTGGTATGCACACTTGATATACCGAATACCGAAATATCGAATCGTAATTTTTAAATACCGTACCGAAATACCGAACGCCCACCCCTAGTAACATTTCATTCTTCCGCTTATTTAACTTTCGTTACTTATAAAATGTTAACATACAACTATTAAGGGATTAAAGATGAAAAGGGTAAAATAATTGAAATCATTGGCTTGCCTAGCTTTCACTAGTAGGTGCCATTACGACTATCGAGGGTGAAAAATTCGGGTCGTGACAGTTTAAAGCACAATTTTGGACCAGAAAGTAAGCTTTGAGACGAGGTAAGTCTCCTTTCTAACCTTGTAAGAGGGAATTAACCCCATAAGTGAATTGACTAATGTGTGCTTGTGGGGGCTACGTACACACGAGGTGACGAAAATCTGTACGTAGTTACTAATTATGCTTATGTTCAGGTAGTTTAGGACCCATACCATGTTATACTTACGATGTTTGTACCGTACTTGTTAATTTAATTGCTTAAATCATATTGGAACTTAGGAATTGTTAAAGGTTAAATTTTCATTTACTTGAATTTTGGAAGGGTCACTTTACTGTTACTGAGGATTGGTGTTTCTTTGAATATTAGCCTCTTAATAAATCTTGAATCGACTGTTTATAAAGTATTTTCTCTTCTCATGGAGTGGGCCGAACGCCTCGGTAATAGATAGATGCATCTATAGTTCGTGTCGTTCGACCCTCGGCTGTGCACAACTTAAATATTTTTATGTTGGATCGGCCTGTACGACCTCGGCATAATTTGTGTGTAATAAATTCTTGGAGCTCAATTATAATTGCTATTGCTTCATTGGTTTAAGAGGTTAAATTGTTAAATGATGGAAATAAATTTGGGATTACTATTAGTGAAAGAATTATTTATTATTTCCTGTTAATGAGTTTTCAGCTATATTTATATAATCGACGCTTAACTATAATTTCGGTATTCTTATTGTTAGCCCATAGTAAGTGTCAAAATCGACCCCTCGTCGCTACTTCTTCGAAGTTAGACTGGATACTTACTGGGTACATGTTGTTTATGTACTCACGCTATACTTCTGCACTAATTGTGCAGGATCTGAGGCTGGTGCATCTGGATATCAATCTGACGTGCATTCTTGATTACTACGAGACTTAGCGGTATGCTGCCTTCTGAGCCCGTTCTACAGCAAGCGAAGTCTTTCTTTTGCTTTATTTTCTGTCTATTTCACTTCAGACAGTAGTGTAGTATTCTTTTGTATATTCCACTAGTAGCTCATACACTTGTGACACCAGGTCTTGGAGATTTATGCTAGTAGACAGTTGATGGTTTTGGGTTATTTTACTTATCTTACTCGTTTTCAAGAATTTTGAGATCTCGTTTTATTAAATTCTTACTCCTATTTATGCATAAATTAAAAATCGACTATTTCAAATTTTAAAAGAAATGATCACAAGGTTAGTTCACTATTAGCCTGCCTAACGGTAACGTTGGGCACCATCCGGTCTATAGGAGAATTTGGATCGTGACAATTTATTTCGCCTTTATGAACATTATTCCCTTCAGGAACAAGCGGGGCCGTTGCCTTCGGACCTGATTGCCTTCTGCGTTTGGCTCCATGTGTCTCTTTATTATGCGAGCATTTATATGAACATATTTTATCCTATACAAATGACAATATAAGTTTCTTTAATTTAGTAGAGATTTTATTATTGAGTATATTATACTGATAAATAAAATGACAATTGAAATTTATTAAAGTAATACGATCTAATAACCCGATTATAATTTAATTTAATTAATATTTTCAATACTGACTATTAGTTTTATAAATTTCTCAAGTAACTTTTTAAAAAAAAACAAAAAGGAAAGAGAAAACGACGGACACGATACGGGAAAGTAAAAGAAGCGGAAACGGAACACGCATCCCGTAATTATTGATTCCTAAGAACGATTTATTTCCGGCAGCCGAAACTACTAAACCACTCAGCAGTCCGCAGTGTCAATCCGTCCTGCAGCCACGAATTTCGCATTGAGGGCTGCTAACAGTCCCGTTCATATTTTAAAATCTTTAAGTGTCAAACCCACACATTTCGATAGTTATCCTTTTCTCCTTCCACTTTAATAATTTTGCCATTTACAGCTTTGAACAGTAAAAATTAAACGAGTGATAGACGAAGTGATACTGAAAAGAGTAGTGGTTGGGGGTGGGGTGCGTGTGTTGGGAGGGGGAGGGCAGAGAAGAAGAATGAAAGCCAAGAAAAAAAAATGGAAAGCATATAAAAATCCCTAGAGACGATGATAGTGGATATGGAACGATACAATTATTATAGATAAAAAAAGGAACCTAAAAGATTTTCAATTGGGCAAGTTAATGGGGCGTAAGAAAGTAGAAATAAAGCGAATCGAAGACAAGAGCAGCAGGCAAGTGACTTTCTCTAAACGGAGGAAAGGACTCCTAAAGAAAGCCAAGGAACTCTCCATTCTTTGCGATGCCGATGTCGCCGTTGTTGTATTCTCCAATCGGGGCAGACTCTACGACTTCTCCAGTACTAACAGGTTCCTCATTAAATCTCCTCATATTGTTAGATCTAGTTTGTTCCTATTTTCCATACTTTTATGTTTCTGTTTGTTTGTTTGTACTTATCCAGAAGGTGCACTCCATTATATTTGTTACCTCTTCAACATTCGAGAAGCATTATTAGAATGATAGCTGGTGAATCTCTAGGATGACACCTAGCCATATATGCTGACACAAAACAGTCAGTCTTGTGCTGTTATTATCTGAGTTTTCCTGTCCAATGAATAGTAAAGAGTGTCTTTTTGCATGTGATTATAGAATTATGACGTGAATATCAGGAACCACCTTCTTGAACATTCTTTTACAGGAATTTTAGTTGGGGATATTCTGATATTTTTCGTCTGTGTATGTCAAAAGATTCACTTCTTGTTGCTTAAGACTTGTACATTAAATATTGATGTGTAGAAACATTGCTGTTTGAAGAAAATTTTGGAGAAAAAAGGGGTTGGCCTGTTTTAACAACGGCTAGTAGGGAATAAGATTTCCATGAGTCTATGGTATATTATTGTGCTTGTGGTATCTTTTGTGATTGATTGCTATTCCACATGAGCAATCTAATTGGTAATAGCACCTAGTGATGGTTGCTATGATCATTTATAAGATACACATCTCCTGAACAGAAGCAATGTAATAGTTCTCTTTTTAGGATTTATAATTAAAAGTGAAAAATCCAAGATTGACAATTTTTCCTTTTTATATATATACGACATTAGGCCCAGTAAAATTTCACTAGTGGGGTCTAGGGAGTGTAGTGTGTACGCAGATCTTACCCCTACCCCGAAGGAGTAGAGAGGTTGTTTTCGAAAGACTCTCGGCTCAAGAAGACGAAAAGAGACTGATAAGAAAACATAAGAAAAATAACATCAAGAAAATGAGAAAGTAGATGCAAAGCAAAAGCAATATATAGTACATAAACCCGGCGCTATGAAAAACGAAAGAGTAGTAAGACACAAAATTGCCACTATCTGACTTTGACAAAACCTCTACGTACGAGACTAGCCTCACAAAGGTACGAAGTAAGGAAAGACTCAACTATCTCCTAACCTACAACCCTAAAAAGGAAAGTAACTCATCTAATTTTAACGGGAGGGAGTAACTTTTATCATCCCTATTAGTGGTTTCAATATGTATGCTACTTGTGTTTGTTTTTAATAGGATTTTAATAGGACCAATTAAGTGTATATGTTTCTACTTGAGACTCCTCATCCAAAAGATTTCATATGTTGTCTATTCTCTTTTTTAAGACGGTATGTCCGTGTTATATATGAACATTGACATTATACCTTGAGAAATTGATTTTATTTGTTGAATCTCCTTAATGTGCATGGACCATGAATGTATCCTGATATACTTTTAAGGTTTTTGCATCTCTCAAGCACAAAAAAAAGAGGAAAACAAAAGCACCCCACTAGAGTATTTAATAGAATTAGCGAAAATGTTCTTCAACTCATGTGAGATGAAAAGTATCTTACCCACTCGTTTCTTAATCCCGCAAGATTTCACGAACCGCTAACTTCAGCTCATTTTTAGCTTCTCTATACCGCTCCTTGTTCTTCCTCTTCGCCTCCTTGTCTATGCTCTCTATTAGCGTCAAATATGCCACTTTCTTATCTTCTACTTTTCCTTGGACCTCTTCACTCCACCACCAGCCTCCTTTGTGGCTGGTAGAGAATAACCTTCGAGACCTTTAACGCCTCTCTCTCTCGCAGCTTATATAATACATTTTGCTGTCATGGTCCACATACAACTCGCATCCCCATTGATCCTCCAGGCTCCCATAATCAGAACCTTCTCCTCCAACTCTTGAGCTTTTTCTCATTCAAGGCACCCACCTGATCCTTGGTTGACCATACACAACTTTTTTTTTCTCTTCCTCATGATTTTAAGTCCAAAAATCCTAATCTTTAAGGAAAAGAAAATTTAATCTTGATTGGATTCTTAAGACTTCTTGAATTTTTTTTTAAATTTTGGTCTTCTTGATCTTGCATCATTCTTCTAGATGAAAAAAACTCGCCCTCGAGCCTAACAACTTCCATGAATGGCGCAAGATTTGATATAGTAAAGAACACGGACCAAATACTCACTAGGTTTTAACTTACATTCTGTTAGCTAATCGTAGAGCTTCTTCACGTTATCAGAAAACTTAGCATTTGGTTTAACTAAATTTCAATTTTTAAGTATTAACTTTTTACCAAGCCTTCTTCATGTAATCTTTTTATATTGATTATCAAGCTTCCACTTACAATATAAAGTTATTGGTGTTAGAACTTTAAGAAACTTAACTAACTCCATGTCTTGCTTTGAATTAAGCATGTGGAGGTCAACGCTTTTTCTTAGAATGCATCAACTGCAACGGTTCTACACCAACAATTGTTGGGATGATAGCCATACATATACATTTATGATGTCAAGGCGGAGTTTAAGAGAAAGACGGGGATTGATTTTTTTGCTCATCTTATGGACTTTAGGATTAATGCAATATGCTGCCTTGTTTGAAATGATAGATTCGACAATCAAGTCAATATTGTGTTGAGCATCTCTGAAAGGTGGAAAGTCAATGACGCACATGGTTTGGATACTCCAATGGTTTTATCATAAAACTTTGATGGTAAATCCTCAACTTGTAGATCCAATGCATGTTTCCTTGTGTCTTTGATAATGGACTTCATCAGTTTTGTCCTTTTCACTCCCTTGACTATCTAAATATTTATCATATTAGGCATGGTGCCTCGATACTCTCATGCCTTGGTCAGCTTTAACCTCTTCAGCCTGCCAATTTATCCTGCTCTATGCGGTTGAATTGGTGAATATCGAAGTAGTTAACGTGGCGGTGGTACTGATATGTTATGTAGTAGTGGAGGATGTAGGCATTGTGACAAATTTGGTAGCTAATTTTGAAGCACGACCTTCAACCAATTCAGCCAGACACCTCGTAGATTCCATCAAGCTGTCTAGCTGCACTTTAAAGCCATCTAGATGCACTTTGAAGCGATCTAGTTGAACTGTAATTTCTTCATTGTCTCGTTTAAGGACTTTAATTCTTAATTTTTTAATTTTAAATTTCAGATCCCTTGAAGAGGATCCTGAACTTGCTATTTTCTTGTCTGGTAACATGATGAACAAGATAGCAAATCAAGAATTCGAACTTGAAACTTATGCTCTGATACCAAATTGATGTACTTTTAAGGTTTTGCACCTCTCAAGCACAATGAATAAAGAAAACAAAAGCGCCCCCACGAAAGTTATTCACAAAACTAGTTAAATTGTTTTTCAAACTCACGTGAGAAGAATATAAGATGAAAGAAACTTTACTCATTCGTTCCCTAGTTTCGCAAGATTGCATGAAGTGTTTAATAATAGGGGAAGAGTGAAAATAAAAGATAACTCACGTTTTTGAAGCAAGAGTTTAGAAAAACTGATCACCAATGTTTATTTTCATCATATTGAGTGAGCCCTTTAAATAGGCCTGACAATGAATAAAATTCTTTAAATAGGCATGACAATGAATAAAATTGACGAGGTTAATAAAAACTAATCCTAATTAAACTAAACTAAGAATAAGGTGAAGAAAAACATATTCTAATTAAAATAGAAAAAAAAATTCTAGTAGGAATATAATACCGACTAACAATCCTAGTTTGACTAAAACTACACATATAATCTTACTAAAACAAGAAATAAATAGGAATTTCTAATCTTTAAGGAAAAGAAATTCTAATCTTGAATGGGTTCTTGGACTTATTGAATTTCTTGATTTTTTACCTTTTTGATTTTGCATCATATCATGCACTTAATGTTGAATGTGGTGATTACTTTGGTGTATCTTTATGTTTCTTGTATGTCATACACTTCTCATTGTATCATAGTATTGATATTTTAATCCATAAGCGTTTCATGTGGTAGCACAAAATATATAAACGAGTAGCAATCATGAATACTGTGCATAACATTGCATGCTAATTATTCAAATCCAAAGGCATTCAATGCATTCAAGATTTGCTATTTGACGTACTTTCAATTCTGACAATACTTAAGGGGAAATTCCTTCCCGCTCTCCTATAGGGATCAGAACTGACACTAACGTGATTTGCAAACAACGCTGACGCTATATAGCCATATAGGCAATGCTCGGGACCACCTCCCTTTGCTTCAGAGTCATAGGCGCAACTCTTCTAGTTGGAGAAGAGTCCAATTGCAAACCCGTGCACTCCTATCGTATTGTTGCTTCTATCACGATAGGGAACCATGTGATTCTTTCTATACCCATACTTTCTCGCTCTTATGAAGTTGTATTCCCTAGGTTATGCATAAGGGAAAATCACTTGAGCCTTTTGCCTTTCTTCTTTCCGGAGGTACAACATATGAATTCCAATTAATGACCATGAAGGTGTCCATTGTCATAGGGATAGTCTTTCATCGAGAAATGAAGAGAAAAAAAAGGACTAGCCGACTCAAGCTTTACTCCTTTTGCTGTAAATTCTTCATTTAGTAAAACCTCAATCTCAATTCCAAGAAATTTTGTATATAACATTTATCCTAAAAAGACGTAGTTCACACCTACTTTGAGGAGAAAGAATCCCTAACATCGATTTGTCAAAATTTATTGTCAACTTGGTATATGAATATGTAAATTATGCAGTGGAATACTATTGAGTTAATTAGGGATTAGATTTGGCGGGTTGTTCAAGGTCCTGGGTCACTTTGTGGTTACAACAATTTGGCATATGAGACACAAAGTTGAATGGCATCCATCATTTTATAAGAGATATGCTTATTTTCTCAACTCACGGCCATAAAGGGTAAAAACAAAATCCTAGATATCATTCTTGCCCCCAGGGTCTCGCTCAAGTGGCAAAGGGTGGTGGATTTGTGTCTTAGGTCACAGGTTCAAGCCCCCACACCATGCAAAGCAAAGCTTGGTATTTAAGTGGAGAAGGGTAGAGGGGTGGACCCATTATCCACCGAGTTTCGAAGGTTGCGGTTGGTTCAAAGGATCGGCCCTAGACGGATTTCTCGGTCATAAAAAAAGATATCATTCTTGCCCCCAGGGTCTCGCTCAAGTGGCAAAGGGTGGTGGATTTGTGTCTTAGGTCACAGGTTCAAGCCCCCACACCATGCAAAGCAAAGCTTGGTATTTAAGTGGAGAAGGGTAGAGGGGTGGACCCATTATCCACCGAGTTTCGAAGGTTGCGGTTGGTTCAAAGGATCGGCCCTAGACGGATTTCTCGGTCATAAAAAAAGATATCATTCTTGCAACATCGAACCAAAGAAAATATATTGCTCTATATACTTGTAAAAGGTCTAAAAAAAAGAATTTGATCCAAGTGATCCAAATGCTTACCTATATCCAAAGTATTAGGAAAACCTTACAAGTGATCCAAATGCTTACCGATACCCAAAGTATTAGGAAAACCCTACTCGGCCATATTTTGATGTAGTTCCAATATGAATTTAAAATGGCCAATGTATTTTACATCGAACTTAACATGGGCAATTTCTACATTACCTGATAGTGAAGTTATAGACATTTTGTTGGCTAGAGAATAAATTTTTGCTTTTCTTTGATTCGATAATGGGATTATGACTATTGATACCACTGCTGATGGAAATTATAACTCAAGCATCTTAAAAAAATAGGTGCATCAATTATAAATTTACTCATCCATTACAAACACTTCAAAAGATTAGCATATTAATATCAGCTTTTGAAATTTTTGTAAAACAAAAAATTATTAAATACCCCTAGTTAAAATATCCAAAATAACTTATTAGTCTTAACATAGTGAAAGCGTCATAGGCAATCTAACAAATATGTGACCATACCTTGTCAATAACTCTACAAATGGATGGGGTTCATATCTTTAATCACTTCCTCCGTTTCATCTTTTGTGAAAGTGTTTGACTACCCAAACTTATTAGTCTTAACATAGTGAAAGCATCACAGGCAATCTAACAAATATGTGACCATACCTTGTCAATAACTCTCCAAATGGATGGGGTTCATATCTTTAATCACTTCCTCCGTTTCATCTTTTGTGAAAGTGTTTGACTACGCACGAAGTCCAACAAGAACGTCTTTTAGAGCAACATACCATGACATTTTTATGGCTATAAAGTCATGTCATTTAGGTAAAGTAAAAAGTATTTAGCTAAATTATTTCTAAATATAGAAATTCCTATTTTTGGAACATACTAAAAAAATTAGTGTCACATAAAACGAAAAAGGGACTATAATACTTTTGTAATACTATAACATGTTGGACCGTTTGCTTCATAGTAGTATAGAATATACATATAAACAAAAATTAGACGATTAGCCTTGACATATTCTCGAGTTAGGAGATAGAATTGTTTCTTCTACAATAAAATATTGATGATTTAGCCGGATCTTTATCTTTCATGCAACATATATATTTTTGAAAGTCCTTTATTATTTGACGATATTGTGGACGAACATTCTGCACTTTGGGTCCATAGTTGTGTAGTAATTGGGCATCTCACCATGGTTGCTGGAGCTGGACTAGACAGGGTTTCATCGTATCTTCTTCCTTCCTTGCAACAAAGAACAAAAGAAAAAAGCATTACTTAAGATATTAGAAGCCAACAAAAAAAAAGAGAGAGAGAAAGACAATGTAATGAACACGACATGTTATGAAAAAGTTCATCGTGTTCTCCGAGCAATAGTTCACGTTTCAGTCTGTGCTTCGCTTATATTTGGCTGAGGTTCCTTCTCTTTCGTAGTGTTCCTGTCTTGATCTGCTTTTCATGTGATCATTTGCTTATATCACCTTACCTTTTAGTTTTCTCTTTCTGCCTATCCTCTTTGACTATATGAGAAAATTTGTCTCACAATATCTTTGATACAACCCTCGAAATTGTTATTTGTAGTTGTTCATATTTAGTGGTCATTAATAGCGGTTATCCTTTTTAGAAATAATAGGTTTGTTGGTGGTCGCTCATTTTTCTCTGTCGACTGGATTGATGGGTGTTATTTGTGTTGGTAGACCCATCGTGGCTGGAGAAGTCGGTGCATTTTCCACTTTTAGGATAATGGAATCCGCTGTTGATAAGTGTTGTATTTCCTTTACTTCTTTTGCGCTTACGCTCCTCTTTAATCTACTATCTGGATTGTGTTACTTGAAAGTCGGTAAAATCAACATACCAATGAATGTTATCTATTTTGTTGAGCTTGATTTATTTCAAGGTCGTGCAAGAGATTTTAACGTTCTCACGCCTTTTGGGCAAGTCACATGTTCCGTTCTCCTAAATTGTTTCTCTAAATGAAGGTGTATTTTTTTCCTCCAATTCCTTACTACTTTATGTATATTTCTGTGTGAGGATCTTTAGCATGATTTTCATCCTTTAGTGGATCATCAACGAAGCAAAGGTTTTATCCTTGGCCTTTATAATCATGTCGCATAACCCATGTTTGGTTCGTCGGGCATGGTCCTTGGAAGATGATCCCTGGAATGCCCTTTTTCTTTGATTTTTTAATTTGGTGCAAGGCCTTTCTATTATAGTTCTAGCATATAATCATTTTTCGTGCTGTTGCGGGGGATGCTGCAGCTGCAGCTGTAGTGATATATGTTCTCTCCTTTACAACTTCCTAGTGGATGGTATCATTAACACTGTTTGAAATAACGTCAATCAGTTGTTCTTAGTATCATCTTCTGAAAGAGGTCATGTTTTGTTTTTTGATATTTACTAGGAATTCAGGCTTCTTGACATAAGTTGCTTTTACGAGATCAAGTACATAGAAGGAGAATGGATATTGTACTCTATAAAGATACAACAAGGAAGACAACTTGCAATGTGTTGTGCTATAATGGTGTGCCATAAGGAGATATTTTTGAATTCAATGAGTTAATGTATGGAAATGTGTCGTGAGCTACGTTGTTCGAACTCTTTGAAAATTTCGCCGGGTGCATGTCTGATCCTTCAAAAATAGTGTATTTTTTAAGGATCTAACACAGATGCGACCAGGGTTGTGAAAAGCGCTTGCTTCCTCGCTTAAAGCCAGAAGCGAAGCGAAACAACCCCTTAGCTGCTAATGCTATATGAAGCGACTTAGGTAGACAAAAGCGTGCGCTTCCCACTAAAAAGCGAGAAGCGACGAAGCGAATCGAGCGAAGCGTGCACTTCTTTGTTTTAAACAGCTGCCAGCCTATTTAATTGAAAAAGAAGGGTTCAGTGTTCTTTTATTAAAACACGACCATCAGCAACAACGACTAGGGTTCCCTTTTCAATTTCAACAGAGATTCAGCAGCAACAGGTATGTGATGATTTCTTCCTTCTTCTTCTTCTTCTTCTTCTTCTTCTTTCACTGTTTCAGCTTCCAAATAGCAGAGAAATGCTGGAGAATTTTTTTTGTTAACCTTCGGTTCTTCTTTCCAAGTCGTCTTCTCTTCACTGAAATGCTGCCCAATTCTTCTTCCATTGTTTTTATGGTGCCCAGTTTTTAACAAAATGGTATATTGCCCTACCTCTTATTTTAATATTTTTTTAAAATTCCGCTTCACTTCAATAAAGTGAGCGCTTCGCTTTTCTCTTTTCCTTCTCGCTTTAAGCGAAATGGAGGCTGTCGCTTTTTCTCGCTTCACGCTCTTCACAACACTGCCTTTTGGAATGAGGTTTTAGCTATTATTCGACATTGTCTTTTTTAGGATGTACTATCTATTCCTTCTTTGCTCTTGGCTTAGGATCAACTCTACTTAGTCCCGATGCTCGATTTGCTTCTTTATGTTAAACATATTTTGTGACCCTCACGCATGCATAATAATTTTGTGCTAGGTCTCTACACCATACTAGAGCATAATCTTGTGCCATACGAGGACCAGTGCAATTATTCCTTTGATTCTAATATGAAACTCTTACCATACTATGGGTAATCAAGTTTTAATCTATCAAAGATTGCTCATTATAAGTATAAAAGTTAGTAGCTAAGGTCTCTAACCCTGTACAGATGAATGAACGAATGATTTTTCAAGTTATACGAAGCTTTTAATGTCCGTCAAAGTATGCTTTACACCCTTTTACCTCATAATAGAATACTCACCTTTACCTGGCATGGTTAATTGAGTGATTGGACTTGTGATGATTCGTGTCACCTTAGCTGATTATTTCCTTATCGCTAAGGCAACCTCAACAAGATTTGATGCTGCTTATTGTCATGCTTGTTCTTTCTCGTCTATGTTTTTGGCATGTCAACTTTGTAGAGCATTTCTGCACATGCACTTAATATTTCTAGTTCAAGATATTTCTTGTTCAAGATATTTCTTGTTAACATCAACAACATAGACAAACACACACCTTTGAACCCAATCAAGGGAGCTTGTGTAGCATCATCACCGAAGGCACCCCATTATGTTGGCCAAATACGAACTTTATGCTTCGATGAAAGGTCCAGATATTACTGCTCTGGTCGGGGTTTACTAGATCGGTCAGTCCTTCCAGGCTTGCAACCCAAAGGGAAAAAAGGAAAAAAGTCAACCGATGTTAAAGAATCCAACGACCAACAGTTGGATTATAAAATTTTAAAAAAAAAAATCAAAGGCACGAGTAATACAAATGAGGGCTTGCAGCTTGTTGGAGAAACTATAAAGCACATCTAGAAAGTATACACCAGCTTGAGGTAATTGTGAAATATACTATATAGGATCAGATAGAATCAATTAAGTTTATTATTTTCCTGTAATTATGCAATTCTCAGCTTCTTTCATAGTTTTAGAACATGTAAACTTAACTGCTTAAACATCAAATAACCCGAGGGAATAATTAATTTATCACTCAATAATTGTATCCTACAATTTTGTGTACTTACACATTAGTAATCGCATCTCACACTTTTGTATGTTTCAGTCTCACAGAGATCGTTCAACAGTACCACAGCCATGTGGAAGCAGAAAAAGAGAGCTCTACAGAAGTTTTGGACACAGAGGTATATGTGTAGTTGACTTGGCAATCCAGTTTATTCTGATGACTTAGAGCTCTCTCTGGATACCTGAAATATGTTCGCGGCCTGTGAACTAGTAATAACTTATGTACAGTACCCTGAATAATATCAAACAACCCATAGGTGCATAGTTAATACACCCAAAAAATATCCGCTACTATAGCTCTAAATGATCTGTCGGAGACTATTTCCAAATGCACTGTATAATCCATGTAACTTCCTGTAATCCTGAATAGGTCTAAAGACACTATCCGGGATATTTGTGTGCCCTCTGACTTGAAGGTTCAACCTAGTATGTAGTGATTAATGATGGTAACTTGTCATCATGGTGCCTAACAAGTGTCTTGTGCTTAGACATGGTTAGTATTTTGTTGAAACCAAAAAACCTGACAGCATTTTTCTTTTGATAAGTACAACCTCTGACAGTATTTTATGGTTCATTCTTGTATGGAGTAACTTATGGTCAATTCGTTTAGAGTAGTGATCAATATTTACAGTTCTGATTGTTGAAAGTTTTCTGTCCTTGTGAGGTGGAAATAGCACTCTAAATATTCAAGCTTCATGACAGTGGGAGAACTGTTACAAACGGTAGAAAGGTACTGACCTCATGCTCCTCTTTCATTTCTTGAAAGGAATACTACTCATCTTCTGTCTCAATTTGAAAGGCAACTCGAGGAACCTGCTGTTGATGATCTCAGTGTGACTGACCTTGTCCATTTGGAAGACCAACTGCAAACTGCTCTAATGCAAGCCAGATCTAGCAAGGTCACACCAAGTTCCTCTCTACTTTTTTACTTTCCTAGTTAAATTTACATTTTTTTAGAACTCTGGTGTTGATCTGTACATCGCGTTTTTTAGACGTTACACCCCGTAGCTAGTGTACTTCAGTTGTGTTCTCATTCTTTATACCTCTTGTAATCTTGTACCAGGTTGTAATTTGTAAGTTTGTCTTGATTTATTTTCTCGTCCAAAAGCCAGGGACCTGAAAATTTTTCGTGGTAACGCAAGCTGTTCTTTGTACTAACATTTATTTAGACGACTTCGTAATTTTAGAAGTATTTGCATATTCTTTTAAGTATATTTTGACATTTGTTTATCCTTGGAAGGAGATTTGACTAATTTGTTTTATGCAGACGCATTTGATGATTGAATCTATCAAAAGTCTTCGCGAGAAGGTAGGTCTCGGTTACTACTGGCCCAGATATGTTGGTATGGGGAAAGCATTTCTAGAAAAATAAGAGTTTGGTCTATCATGTTTCTAACTAGTGAACCCTTCTCTATCAGAGCCATGTCATCTCTTTGTCTCCGACTCCCTGAATATTGACTCTCATCATGGTATATATACTTGATATATGCTTGGCTTGGTTTCCTGTACCTGCCTGGAACTTGCATGCCATCTTAACGTCAAATGCTTAAGCTTAGATAATCTTAAGTAATACAGCTCCTTGATCTGCTACACTAAAATAAGTTAGGGGGATCAAACTCACAGCACTAGTAGACTTGCTCATTTTCCGAAAACATCATGCGCGCTGTTGTCTAGTACTGCTCTACCTACTTGTGTTAAAAATGTTGGTTATTCTAACTTTGAGGCAGAACTAATATGATGTTAAGTTGCCATTACACTATGCTTGACAGCAGGCATGACCTTAAGACTTTTCTATACAGGAAAAACTGCTGAGTGAAGAAAACAAACATCTGGAGAACCAGGTAAATTTTAGATGATAAATCTTTTCTTCCACTTGCACGATCGAATTAGGTGGAGTCTGCAAAAATATCTTCCATGTTTCTCCAAATGACTAATTAATGTGCATATCTATGGCCCCATAGATAGCTACGACTAAGAACGAGAGAGAAGTGACCAATGGGACGATGGCTTTAGATTTCACTAACCTTGCACCAGCCAGCATGAACTGTCGACAGCAAAAAGCGACCCTGAATTTCCTCTAGTTATTCAGGAAAGGTTTCCTGTAACTGGAACTACTACTTGCCAAGGTTATCTGGTGCATCTTTACTTTTTAAATTCCCATTGTCCTGCTGTACCTGAAACAGTACTACAAATAAGGAGTTTCCAGAATTAATAAAAGATATTTGAATGTTCCTCTATAAGACCAACTGATTGGTTGTGAGCGTGATGAGTTCTTCTTTGCAAGTCAGATGTGTACGGATTCAGTCCTTATTTTCATTTATTGATACAATCGGAACGATACATGCATGGGAAAAAATTTGTATTTATGGCTGTCATTACTGTCTGTATACATTTTGAAACAACTTAAATTTAAACTTAGTCAAATTTTATAGCATTATGGCATAATATCTAAAGCTCTATATTTCTCTCTTAAACTCCAGGTACATATTAAATACATTCACATAAAATGATTAAAAGAAAGGGAGCACAAAAGATGACACCTTCTATCACATTAATGTTGGCTAGGAGGATCTAATGCTGTCAAGAACTAATATAAACACAAATAGATTTAGTAGAAAACTTGTCTATTTTTGAGAAGTAAAAGTTGATAATAATATTGATTGGAGAAGTAATACAATGGTTACAAAACAAGTGAAGGAAATCAAGCACCAAAAAAGAAAACTTTTTTTTTCCTAAAAAAAGTTATTCGGGAATATGTGAAATATGAAGTTACAATGTGAGAGTTACCATTTATCGAGCAGCTTCAGAGTTTGAAGAGAACAGCAAATCAACTGATGTATCATAACAATGACTACATGGGAGTTTATATATACGCGAAGATACTCGTTATTTGTCCTTTTGGATTGATTTTCGCCGATTTGAGCTCTGCCTGCATTCCGACACGTGGAACACTTTATGTTTCAATTAGAAAACCGTCCCTGCTGTGCTGAATGCTTTCGCTGCTTCTCTTGGTCTGATTTTTACCGACTTAAACGGGAGAAATTTAAAAATAGTAAGATTTACAGGTCGTTTAAAAATAGTCTAGTTTTAAAAGTAATCAAAATTTATTCATTTTTCATTAAAGATAAATTTGAGCGAAAATACTGTTCAAAACCCGAAAAATATGCCAGTATATTATACTGGAATTCCAGCATACTTATGCTGGAACTCCAGGCATAAGTACATTAGAACTTTAACATAATATACTGGAGTTCTAGCAAGTATAATTGTCCCGTATAATATACTGGAGTTTGGAGCACCGGTGCTCCAGTCTCCAGTATATTATACTGGAGTCAGCAAAGTATACCGGTCCAGCATAATATGTTGAAGTTCATACACAGGTGCACCGAACTCTAGTATATTATGCTGGACCAGTCTCTGTTGCAGTAAAATAGTGGTTATTTTTCATTGACTTCGTAAATGCTGGTTATTTTTGAATGACCAGTCCGAAAACTAGCTATACCGTGCTATTTTTACGACTTAAACCTATTGTTACGTTTGTCAAATAAATTATACTAGAATTATAATGTGCTCATTAGAATATGAAATATTCAATAATAATGAGACTATTTAGTGGATGTAAGGTAAATGTTTAGGTTTGTAAAGATATTATATTAGAACTATAATATGTTGTTTATAATACAACAATTAAATAATAATGAGGTTATTTAGTGAATATACTTTATTAATAGACGTTTGATTTATTAGACTGACAATGATATATACTTAGTATTATCGTGGCAAAGATATGCTTTTCACCAAGTTGATTAAAAAAAGGTACGGGAAGAAGGAAAATGGATTCTCTCTCTCTATATAAGGTTCTTTTAATTTTACACACACATATGTGTGCGCGCGCGTGTGTGTAAAATAAAAAAAAAATAACTTTATTTATAATGTAAATTTTTTAGCAAAGTGATACATAGCCGAACCACCTTCTATTCCCCTAACTTTGCCCATGTTAGTATAGTATAAATTATGCATATGATTTCAATAAATAAACTTAAATAAATTTTTCTAGTTTTAATTTGTACCTTTACATTCTTAAAGAAATTTGAAAGAACGAATTTTGAACAGAGTGCGAAGGATTATTTAACAATGAAAATACTGTAAATATGGATTTGATCTAAGGAGATCATTTTCTGATTATTGCTAGATCACTCGTACAGTTTATATTTATGATTGAGTATAGTTAAAAATAAGTTCACAAAAATTTAGTATGTATTAACCATGTACATAATTATTGAAGCAACAAAGAATTATATCCCAAATCCAATAATCACCTTTTGTCGCCTCTTACGCGCAGCAAAGAGTCGATTGAGTCAGCGCAATGCGTAATTTTACCGCTCTTCGATCTTTTCATGCATAGATTCCACATGTTGCCCGTTTGAAAATCAAAAGTTTAAGTCTTTTTTCCCCTTAAATTCGTGCTCAATTAAATAAATTCACATAATTTGAAATGAAGGTAGTATTTGTTCTAAAAATTTATTAGATACATATAAATTATTTATTTAAATTCAATAATTATTTAATATAATTATAATCTCGAACAGGGGCAGATTTAAGCTTTTTAACGGTGAACGTGAACCCATATTCTTTTTGTCAAATTAAATATTTATGCATACATTTCATAAAGTTGATCTAATATTATCTCCAAAAGTTTGAATAGTGCACGCCAAAAGAACATAGATCAATTCCTATTTGTTTTTTTCTTTCTCGCTTTTTCAGTGGTGCATCCATATTTTGAAATTCTAAATTTGCCTCTAACCCCGAATACACAAACTTAGCTAGCATTTTATTGATTTGATTGAAACTTGAAAAAAAAAATTTGTAATTGTGTTAAAAAATAATTTTTGAAAGTTGAAATTGTGTTCGGTCATGTATTTTATTTGAAGAAAAGTTGACGTGTTGTGAGTGGAAGAAAAAATTTTACCCAAAAATTGCGCTAAATCATTTGGGAACTTAGAAATTTTTAATTTTTTTTCTCAAAATATGATCATATTTTATAAATAAATAATATTTTTTAGTTTTTTAGAAAAAATAAAGTCAGATCTGTGACCAAACGGGAGCTTAATCTTGGCTTCCCATCTTTAGATACTAGTTGCTTCCTTCATGAGCAAGGAGTCTTTGGAGTTGCATGTGGACCCCAACTCCCAAGTAGATAGGTTAAAGTAAATGGACGCTGCAGGGAGAAACAGTTGATGTACCAATAGCAAAACCACAAAGGACATGGTCTACAACCAACCACATATCTACTACGTCCCCGAATTAGACCGACTCTACCAACTACGTACGCAGCTGCTGCGTCGATGAGTTTGACTAACTTGCATAGTTGCACAGCTCTAACTCCAGTATCTAAATGCTGAAAATAATGAACAGCTGCCTAGTATAATACCACGTGTGGGGTCTGAGAAGATATTATGTACGCATACCTTATTCCTATCCCAAAAAGTAAAGAGCTTGTTTTCGAAAGGTCCTCGGTAAAAGAAAATGAAAAGGAGGGCAACAATAACAATCACATATGTCAAGAAGATAGTATTAGCAACCTAAGAATCAGAAAAATAAATGAAAAAAGCAATATCAATAATCAGAATAATGAAAATATACTAGGTAATCGGAGCCGAAAACAATACAAACACAACAAGTACCACTAACAATCTAAAGCAAGACACTACAAACTCTGCCAAACGCCCTCAACAGGGAAGAAAGACGCTCAACTACGTACTAACCTACGATCCTAATGCTCGCCCTCCAAGCTTTCCTATCTAAGATAATGTTTTCTAAATGCTGAAAATGGATTCTCTCATTTATTTTTGACATATACGGCGGAAGATTGTACAAACCTATTTATAAAATTTAATGACTACAGTATGTATTAAGTTTTTCTACTATTCTATGAGAGAGAGTTAGCAGGCACCTCCCATCAACATACCTGCTTGTTGACGAGGGCACTGTTTATATGCTTTAAGATATTGTACTTTATAGCATTATCACTTGGACATATTTGATGAGTTTACAGAAAGTATACGGGCCCATTCCACGCCTTCATAGCAGTAGTATTTGGAACTGAATTTCCTGTTCACGTGGTCTCTCTTCGCATATTCCAATGTCATACCTAGCAACAGTGGCGGATCCAGAATTTTGTACAAGCGGGTTCAATCTTAAAAGTATATAACTTTAATCGTAAAATAATACGTAGTTATCAAATGAGTTCAAATAAAATATTTCTATAAAATTTAGACAGCTTTAATCGTAACTTATATATATACATAGTATAATTATTTTTGCCATCCAAAAACATTATCAGGCAGTTTAAGGTCAATATTGATTGTACTACAAAAAATTATTTTTTACAATAGATTATCGAAAATTTATCAAAAATAAAACAATATACTGGAAGTAATATGAAAATATTTTGTGGAGTAAAAATGTTTTTATTTTTTATTTTATTTTTTTATAATAGGCTATAGAAAATATATCAAAACAAAACAACATGCAAATCTAATACTCTAGAAGAAACACAAATATTTATTCCAAAAGAAGTAAATTATTCAACAATTTATATAAAAGTAAATGAACTACACATAATGGTGATATGAAAAATAATCTAAAGGGATTGATAAACATGCAAAGTTTATTAGTTTAAAATCAAGTATTGTCAGGTAACATGATTATAATTGGTGCAAATTTTAGTTTGCTTACAATGATATTGATGAAAAATTCCTTAATCAAATCGAAGAAAGGCATTTACATTATGCTAATAAATTTATAAAAATAGAGCAAAAGCTTAGGGAATTTTTGCATAAGATTTAAGAGAAAATAAAAGATTTAATTGGGATCCAGAGGGCACTAATGAATTTATTAAAAAGAAAAACAAGAAATAAAAATATTAAATTCTAGGCCTTAGCTTGAGGAAGAAGATGATCTTATTTATTAAGAAAAAGCTGACTCCCTATCAAATACTGGGGAGTAATATTAAGAAGACAAAATGATGAAATAATACGTAGGTAAGTGTCTAGGATTAGAGAGTTAGAATTGTATTATTTTATTACTAAAAAGGAATTATTATCGTAATAAAAATATGAAATAAAAACTAGAAAGTTTGACTCTCTTACTGCATCATTGTCATTCTTTTAAAGAAAAATTAAGAGAATAATATTGTTATAGCTTAATGTTGGATCTTAGTAATATTTTATTATATACCCATTTTCCTC